GGTGATTTGAGAAGATTTCACCATTTTTTCTATGCTCTGGAATAGTTTGAATAATAGAAAATTACCATGCTGTTTTTTCTTTAAAAGTTGTAGAATGTGTTTGCAAAATTATCTGGGCTTGCTCAGTTTTATGTTCTGTGGTTATTGACTTGTTTGGTTTTCATTTTCTAAGTAAATCATGCATTTCCTTTAGATTGGCAATTTATTGGCAAGAAGTTCCACGAGATATTTTCATACAGTTATTTTAATGTCTTCCATGACCACAGATGTACTGCTTTTCTCATTGCTACTATTAACTATTTAAGCAAAATATTAAAATCAGTCAACTTAGTTTTCTTTTCCCCCACAACCTGATTGTCACAAATTCTAGTAACATATCTTTACTTCGTGTAGAAAGTCGCCATCTCACGCTTGGAGGGCTGATAAAATTTGAAAGATTCTACAATTTCTATCTGTTTCTACTGTCTATTCTTATTGTGTTAATATTTTATGAACAATAACAACTTAATGAGTGTTTACTGTGTTTTAGACACCTGGTAAATAAGCTCTTTAGTTATACCTAGTCAATAAGCTCTTTATTTTTATTATTTAATCTAGGGCCTAGGAGTTAGTGTTCCCATATTATAGATGAAGAAACTTAAGGCTCAGAGAAGTTTTGTAACTCAGCCAGTTATGCTCAGCTAGCAAGTGGCAGATAGATATGGGAATTAGGTCTACTTTCAGTAAGTCTTAATTCTCATTCTACTACTTAACCTTTGTGCTAAAAATAAGGATGTAGTTAAGTATCAAGAGTCTAAATAAACCCACACAGTAGTTTGAAATGAACTACCACAAATTGTGAACTTTAAAAAACCTGTTATTATAATGAATTTTTTGAAAGATATTTGGTTTTCAGATATTCCTGTGAGCCTTCACTAGCTTATCTCAGTATTTTGAGACTAGACATAGAGACTATTACCTAATATTTAGTCTGTACAAGGACAAAAGATGACCTTTTTTTTTTGTGTATGGAGAGATCAGTAGATGTCAATTAGTAATTCCACTTAATTTTTTAAAAATTGTGGTAAACTACATATAACATACAATTTACCATCTTAACCATTTTCGAGTATACCATAAAGTAGTATTAAGTACATTCCTACTATTATATAACCATCACTACTATCCATCTCTAGACCTCTTTTCATCTTGCAAAACTGAGACTCTTCTAAACAATATTTCTTCATTCCACCCTTTCTCTAGCCCCTGGTGACCATCTTTTTAAGGTGGTAAACTTGATGACTCTAGGTATGCCACATAATCGGAATAATGCAGCATTTTTCTTTTTGTGATTGGCTTATTTCACTTAGCTTGATGATGTCCTCAAGATTTGTTTTATGTTGTAGTATGTGTCAGAATAGCCTTCCTTTTTATGGCTGAATAATATTACATTATATGTATACAGCACACTTCATTCATTCATCTCTGATGGACACTTGGGTTACTTCCACCTTTAAAAAAACATTTCTGCATGTATTTTTGGTTGCACCAGGTCTTCGTTGCTGCACTCAGGCTTTCTCTCGTCGCAGCAAGCAGGAGCTGCCCTTCATCGCGGTGCATGGGCTTCTCGTGGTGGTGGCTTCTATTGTTGTGGAGCACAGGCTCTGGGCACACGGGCTTCAGTAGTTGTGGCATACGGGCTTAGTTGTTCCGAGGCACCTGGAATCTTCCTAGACCAGGGATCTAGCCTGTATGCCCTGAATTGACAGGTAGATTCTTATCCACTTTACCACCAGGGAAGTCCTTCTTTCACCTTTTGACTAATGTGAATAACAGTGCTTTGAATATGTGTGTCATGTACTTTTTCTTTTTTTCTGAGACCCAGTTTTCAATTCTTCTGCATTTATACCCAGAACCGAAATCACTGGATCGTGTATATATGTGTGTGTGTGTGTGTGTATAAAACCAGTTCTACTTAATTCAAAAGGGTATTAAAGCAATGTTCCACAGCCTAAGGCCTTTGATTTGGTACATTCCTGAGAATCAAGGACATCCAAGGTAAGATAATCTCAGGACTTAACATTTGTTAAGAGGTCCTGGATAACAAGGAATGGGGGTGGGGAGAATACCAAACTCTGGGGTCTAGAACCTAGAGAAGTTCTCCACCCTAGCCCACCCAGCCTACCTAGCTCCCAGAGTTAGAGGATGCCCACTGGTGCACTACTTTGAGCAGGATACAGGAAAGCTGTAGGACCGGTACTAAATAGATACTGATTTTTCCAGCCTTAATGGTGCATCCACATTGTTTTTATTTTGAGAGGCATTAAAGCATATTGATTAAGAACATGGGTTCTGGAGGTAGATATTCTAGGTTTGACTCTCAGCTCAACCTTTACTATTTGAGCAATTACTTAAGTTTTCCTTGTCTGTAAAATAGGTACTATAATATTAGCTACCTCATAGGATTATTGGGAAGATTAAATGAGTTAATTAAGTATTTAGAAAAGTGCCTGACATATAGCTCTTAGTAAATGTTAAGTAGTAATAATATTTTTATTTTTTAATATAAATTTATTTATTTTAATTGGAAGCTAATTACTTTACAATATTGTAGTGGTTTTGCCATACATTGGCATGAATCAGCCATGGGTGTACATGTGTTCCCCATCCTGAACCCCCCTCCCACCTCCCTCCCCATCCCATCCCTCTGGGTCATCCCAGTGCACCAGTCCCGAGCATCCTGTCTCATGCATCGAACCTGGACTGGAGATCCGTTTCACATATTATCATATACATGTTTCAATGCCGTTCTCCCATATCATTCCATCTCGCCCTCTCCCACAGAGTCCAAAAAACTGTTCCATACATCTGTGTCTCTTTTGCTGTGTCGCATATAGGGTTATTGTTACCATCTTTCTAAATTCCATATATATGCATTAGTATACTGTATTGGTGTTTTCTTTCTGGCTTACTTCACTCTGTATAATAGGCTCCAGTTTCATCCACCTCATTAGAACTGATTCAAATGAATTCTTTTTAATGGCTGAGTAATATTCAATGGTGTATATGTACCACACCTTTCTTATTCATTGCTCTGCTGATGGACATCTAGGTTGCTTCCATGTCCTGGCTATTATAAACAGTGCTGCGATGAACATTGGGGTACATATGTCTCTTTCAATTCTGGTTTCCTTGGTGTGTATGCCCAGCAGTGGGATTGCTGGGTCATATGGTAGTTCTATTTCCAGTTTTTTTAAGGAATCTCCACACTGTTCTCCATAGTGGCTCTACTAGTTTGCATTCCCACCAACAATGTAAGAGGGTTCCCTTTAATAATACTATTTTTAATTAGTACAGGTTACCACGTGGCTTCCCTTAAAACCTTTGGAAATAAATAATGTTCCATTCTGTAAGTTATACTTTTTGGATTGTATGCACTATGAATCAAGAAAAGATATCTAATAGCATTTTAAAGAGGTATTATTGCTCCCAGGCTAGCAGTATTTGATTGTAGCCTGATGAAATATTAACATCTATAGAACATCAATACTAGTTGTGATAAGAATTGGTTATAGAGGTTTATGTTTTCTCTCATAGCCTTGACCCACCTAAGGTCTGTCCATGGGGCAGATGTCCTTGTGCATATCCCATCATTTCATTCCAAGTGGTAAATGTCTGTCCCTGGTAAGCAAAGTCTGACAGCACTAAATATTTGAATCACATTATGAATTCCTCTAATACACCTTGTGATTATAGTTTGGCTTCTCATGTGGCTTATATATATGGAGAGGCTATATAGGCTGCAAAGCTTGGATAGCTGGTTGAATATCCAGTTGTAAATCTCACTGGAAATCAATTAGCTTTCTGCTTTTATATGTAAATCTTGGAAGTTTTGTTAATCTAGGTTTGCCCCTAATTTATAAATCCATTTTCTCTGTAATGACTGAGTACATGGTTGAGCCTGCAGTGGTGAGACCCAAGCCCTCAACCGTGTTCAATTCACAGAGGAAATGCTCCCCTCCCCTTCCTGCACCGCCCACCCACCCTCCAGCCTGACTCTCATCAGTTTCTTGGGATCTACTCCCCTGCCTTGCTTAGGTCACCACACCACTAGCTCCTTTAATTCATTGGCTTGAATTTTCCTTATTGGGATTACCATAGATGGGGTGGCAGTTATAATTCTTTGCTACCACCTTTGCCAGTTTGCTGAGGAAAGGTGGAGCATTCTGATCTACTATCCACAAACCAGAATCCATTGTGTGGTGAGCAGGAAGACTTGATCATCACACTGTAAAAGTTACATATTGTGATAGCCAGGCTCATATTTGAAATAGAAATCCATTATAGATTTCACTCTGTTTCTAACTGGATCCTTTGTATCCTGACTGATGCTGTAGTCTTCTTGACCACTTTGGAGGCAGCTTTCATAGTAATTAATTGAATCTATTTTTATTTTTGGAGGAGCCCACAAGGCAGGAAGTTTCAGAACTGGGTCCCCAGGTCCTTCAGACTTACTGATGTTATTAGCTGAGTCACCTACCTGCTCTATCTACTTTTATAATGATCAGAGCTCCTGAATTTCTCATATGCTGGGGTCTTTTTTTTTTAACTCTACATCCCAAACTGTAGACATATGAGTTCATGATCTAATAATAAACTTCAACAGTACCTCTTTAAATAATAATTACTGTATACCTACAACATAATTATATTCTAATAAATCTATTAAAAATTTCAGGTTAACAGTACAAATATTTTTTAAAATTTTGTGTTTATTTTAATCACAATAGAGATTTCTATTCTAAACATTTTTGTTTTCTTTTCTTTCTCCCCTTACTTCCACTTTCCCTTTCTCCTCCTGCATGGGGTGCTTTAAGTTTTTTCTTCCAATGACAAAACTGTCTTACTAGACTAGAATTAACTTTTACACATATTAAGAACATATTGTGTAGTAAGTTACAAATGAATGCACATTTTTCTTGTAATGCATTTCTAAGAGGGAAGTGAGGCAGCAAATATAATTAAACATAAACAAGGTACTTTAATGTACATGCTCAGAGAATTAGTCAAGGAGCACTTCTTAGAAGTGTGTTTGGAACAAAATTTTAAGAGAAGGGGTGAGAAAAGGGAAAGTAAAACAAATTATGCTTTGGGAAGCTATATCAGAAAAAGGGAGAATGGATCCTAACAAAAAAAAGATATTCATTGCAGTATGGCTAAGCTGGTGCCTGGCTGGAATGGAAAAGGAATGTTGGGGAGTGGCAATTGGTTAAGTTACTGAAAACGTAGATTCACAGACTTCCTCTCCACCTTTTGTCTGAATACTGTGCTAAACCCTAAGGGAAAACCAAAGAGGAGAGACAGTGTGACCTGCAGGAACTGATACTCTCGCTGATGCGACAGGGTGGCAGGAAGGTAGAGGAGGAATCTTGAAAGTCCGTAGAGTGGCTTGGATTTTATGTGGTGTGTGATGGAAGGCCTTTTGGAGACTCTCATGTATTATCCCACCTTTATCATCTGCTCTGGAAAGAAAGATCAAACTGAGCAGGTGACTGGTTTCAAAAATCAATTTTGGTAGCTATAGCTAATCAATTAGCTAAAGAACTTTTCTCCCCACAAACTATTTTGAACCACTTTAGATAAAAAAGGAAATGAACTGCCTAAAATCTTCTGTCCATGGTTAACAATTAATGGAAAATCACTGGTTTGCTTTTGCAGGCAGCACTTAATGTCAGTAACTCAGGCTGTTTTCCAATTTTGCAGTAAATGTTTTATACCGAAACCAATTTAGGAAGCTATTTAGTCCATGGGCTTTTTCAGTGGAAAGATGATGTGGGTAGTGTATAATAATGACATTTTCTTATCCACATCAGAATATTAGCAAGTTACTAGTGACTCCATTTTGATACTGTCAATTTCAAACTAAAGGAGAGAGATCAAGTTGCTTATGGAAAGATCTTGGGTTATGTTAAAAATAGTGTAGCCTTGTAATAGTTGAAATAAATAATTCATGTTTTGCTTTTAGTGTGTCAGTTTATCTCCGTCTTGAATCAGACCTAAGAGAGAAAGTTTCCAGATTTCTGCTGCCTATCTAATAAAGTCCTCTGGTAGTAGTTTGGTCTCCTGACCAGTTGTCGAAATGCAAATTTTAGTTTTTCCCTTTCTTCTTCCTCTTTTCATCTGCTTCTTTGCTACTTGCAAACTGTCCTGTGATTTCTGCTCTCTTCACTGGCATGCCAATGGGAGACTTTCTGAGATCACCGGTTTCCTGGAATGATATTTGAGGCATATTTAAATGCCTTATGCTATTCCTAGGTTTATGTGGACTTGGTCCTACGTGGATTGGTGGTAGGTCTCTGTAAGGCACCAGCACGAATACGACAGGAACCCTGGGGTCTAGGGTCAGATTGGGTGGCAGCTGTCCGCTTGGCACTTGAAAAGACTGCCTGGGAAAGACATTGTTTAAGGGGTAGCCCTCCAAAGCTGCCTGAGCTGTTATGTTCGGATTCTCTTTTGCCTGGAGAAGAACATCGGTGAAATATGGCTTCACCCCTGTTATGGCATTGATTTCATGTGCGTTGTGCCTGTCCGCCAGAGCTCTCCCGGTTAAAATGGGCTGGAAAACAGTCGCTCCCTGGACACCACTCACAAAGTTGCTGAGGAGAGAATGCCACATCCCACCACTTATCGGGCTCAGAGTGACCTGTGGCCATAAACTGGCCAGGCTCCGGAGAGCTTCGCGGTTCCACGCCGAGGCAGGAAATTCAGCCTCCGTGTGATAGAGCTGAGAAAAGTAAATACTAAGAGTGATGTCTGGATACTTTGCCAGGAAGTTATACATCTTGCTGATGCAGCAGTGGTTGGCTTCATTGCAAGGGGAGTTACTGGAATACAGAATAACATGCCTGATGCGGTCGTTATTGTGAACGGCAGAGTCAAGGTAACCGTTCACCTCAAATAACATTGATTCCGGGTGGGTATCGTTTCTAGTGCAGCTGCTGGCATGACCCTTTTGCCCCAGGCTTCCAGAAGAAGTTTTTAGCTCATAGAACGTGAGGTGTTTCGTTGGAGGATATGTTGGCCCATAAGGGAATCCAAAAATCTGATAAAATTCTGTGTAGGGAACTCTTGCTTCTTCACCCGTCCGAATATGGTAAGGACAATTAGAGCAATCGAGAGAGAAACTCAGCCAGTAATAAGGTTTTACTATCGTTCCATGACTGGCCAGGTATTCCTCATATAAGGGCTCCATCGTTAGTTTTATTGTCTTCTAGCTGCAGCCCTAAACAAGGAAGAGAAATGACATATAAAACCAGTGCAGGAAAAATGAAAGACAACGCTTTAACTTGCCGAGCCATACTTTTCTTTAGAGGAAGTAGCACAATAACCATAGTAGCATCTGACTCTAAAAGATAGTGATTCATTGTGTATCAATAGTGAAAGGTCAAGATACTAATCCTGAGAATTAGACAAATGCTGGGGGAGGAGACAGAAGAGAAAGACAGAACACCTTTACCTGTTTGATAGATTCTGAGGCAGAAAAACAAATGGGTTAACAGTGCAAGTTATAGAAACAGACTCAGTTCAGTTCAGTTCAGTCTCTCAGCCGTGTCTGACTCCTTGCGACCCCATGAATCGCAGCACGCCAGGCCTCCCTGTCAATCACCAACTCCCGGAGTTTACTCAAACTCATGTCCATTGAGTCGGTGATACCATCCAGCTATCTCATCTTCTGTCGTGCCCTTCTCCTCCTGCCCCCAATCCCTCCCAGCATCAGGGGCTTTTCCAATGAGTCAACTCTTCTAGAAACAGACTACCTTATTTCAAATCTGGGCTTTGCCAGTTACCAGCTTTGTTACTTTTGGCAAGTTACAGAACATCTGGGAGCCATAGCTGCTGCTGCTATTTTTTCTTTTTTTGTGAAATGAGGATAAAAATAGAACCTGCCTTGCAAGATTATCTTGTGGATTGAATGATTGAATAAGTAAAAAATGCTGTATTATGTGCCTGACACATATTAGGGACTCAATATATATTAGAGATGGCAAGAGTGTCAACATTTTAAATCAGCGAACTAAAATGGACTGGAATGGGTGGATTTAACTCAGATGACCATTATATCTACTACTGTGGGCAAGAATCCCTTAGAAGAAATGGAATAGCCATCATAGTCAACAAAAGAGTCCGAAATGCAGTACTTGGATGCACTCTCAAAAATGACAGGATGATCTCTCTTTGTTTCCAAAGCAAACCATTCAATATCACGGTAATCCAAGTCTATGCCCCGACCAGTAACGCTGAAGAAGCTGAAGTTGAACAATTCTATGAAGACCTACAAGACCTTTTAGAACTAACACCTAAAAAAGATGTCCTTTTCATTATAGGGGACTGGAATGCAAAAATAGGAAGTCAAGAAACACCTGGCAAATTTGGCCTTGGAATACAGAATGAAGCAGGGCAAAGGCTCATAGAGTTTTGCCAAGAGAATGCACTGGTCATAGCAAACACCCTCTTCCAACAAAACAAGAGAAGACTCTATACATGGACATCACCAGATGGTCAATACCTAAATCAGATTGATTATATTCTTCACAGCTAAAGATGGAGAAGCTTTATACAGTCAGCAAAAACAAGACTGGGAGCTGACTGTGGCTCAGATCATGAACTCTTTATTGCCAAATTCAGACTTAAATTGAAGAAAGTAGGGAAAACCACTAGACCATTCAGGTATGACCTAAATCAAATCTCTTAATGATAATACAGTGGAAGTGAGAAATAGATTCAAGGGATTAGATCTGATAGACAGAGTGTGTGATGAACTATGGACAGAGATTCGTAACATTGTACAGGAGACAGGGATCAAGACCATCGCCAAAAAAAGAAATGCAAAAAAGCAAAATGGCTGTCTGAGGAGGCCTTACAAATAGCTGTGAAAAGAAGAGAAGCAAAAAGCAAAGGAGAAAAGGAAAAATGTACCCATTTGAATGCAGAGTTCCAAAGAATAACAAGGAGAGATAAGAAAGCCTTCCTCAGTGATCAGTGCAAAGAAATAGAGAAAAAGAACAAAATGGGAAAGACTAGAGATCTCTTCAAGAAAATTAGAGATACCAAGGGAACATTTCATGCAAGGATGGGCTCAATAAAGAACAGAAATGGTATGGACCTAGCAGAAGCAAAAGGTATTAAGAAGAGGTGGCAAGAATACACAGAAGGACTGTACAAAAAAGATCTTCATGACCCAGATAATCACAATGGTGTGATCACTCATCTAGAGCCAGACATCCTGGAATGTGAAGTCAAGTGAGCCTTAGGAAGCATCACTATAAACAAAGCTAGTGGAGGTGATGACATTCCAGTTGAACTACTATTTCAAATCCTAAAAGATGATGCTGTGAGAGTGCTGCACTCAATATGCCAGCAAATTTGGGAAACTCAGCAGTGGCCACAGGACTGGAAAAAGTCAGATTTCATTCCAATCCCAAAGAAAGGCAATCCCAAAGAATGCTCGAACTACCGCACAGTTGCACTCATCTCACACACTAGCAAAGTAATGCTCAAAATTCTCCAAGCCAGGTTTCAACAATACGTTGAACTGTGCACTTCCAGATGTTCAAGCTGGTTTTAGAAAAGGCAGAGGAACCAGAGATCAAATTGCCAACATCTGATGGATCATTGAAAAAGCAAGAGAGTTCCAGAAAAACATCTGCTTTATTGATTACTCTAAAGCCTTTGACTGTGTGGATCACAGTAAACTGTGAAAAATTTTTAAAGAGATCAGAATACCAGATCACCTGACCTGCCTCTTGAGAAATCTGTATGTAGGTCAGGAAGCAATAGTTAGAACTGGACATGGAACAACAGACTGGTTCCAAATAGAGAAAGGAGTACATCAAGGCTGTATATTGTCACCCTGCTTATTTAACTTATACACAGAGTACATCATGAGAAACACTGGGCTGGATGAAGCACAAGCTGGAATCAAGATTGCCAGGAGAAATATCAATAACCTCAGATATGCAGATGACACCACCCTTATGGCAGAATGTAAGAAGAACTAAAGAGCCTGTTGATGAAAGAGGAGAGTAAGAAAGTTGGCTTAAAGTTCAACATCCAGAAAACTAAGATCATGGCATCTGGTCCCATCACTTCATGGCTATTAGATGGGGAAACAGTGGAAGCAGTGGCAAACTTTATTTTTTTTGAGTTCCAAAATCACTGCAGATGGTGATTGCAGCCATGAAATTAAAAGATGGTCACTCCTTGGAAGGAAAGTTATGACCAACCTAGATAGCATATCAAAAAGCAGAGTCATTATTTTGCCAACAAAGGTCCATCTAGTCAAGGCTATGGTTTTTCCAGGAGTCGTGTATGGATGTGACAGTTGGACTATAAAGAAAGCTGAGTGCCAAAGAATAGATGCTTTTGAACTGTGGTGTTGGAGAAGACTCCTGAGAGTCCCCTTGACTGCAAGGAGATCCAACCAGTCCATCCTAAAGGAGACCAGTCCTGAGTGTTCATTGGAAGGAATAATGCTGAAGCTGAAACTCCAATATGTTGGCCACCTAACGTGAAGAGCTGACTCATTTGAAAAGACCCTGGTGCTGGGAAAGATTGAAGAGGGGAGGAGAAGGGGATGACAGAGGATGAGATGGTTGGATGGCATCACTGACTCAATGGACAAGAGTTTGGGTGAACTACAGGAGTTGGTGATGGACAGGGAGGCCTGGCGTGCTGCAGTCCATGGGGTCACAAAGAGTCATACACAACTGAGGGACTGAACTGAACTGACACATTAGCTCAGTAGTAAAAGTGTGAATCTCCCAGATTGTCTAGTTGGTTCTGGTTTATGAGAGTCCAAAGATACAAGCATGGGTTTTGCATTTTGTTCATAATATTCTTTGTTTCTTTTCTGACTATGAAAGTATCTAATATACTGTATGGATATTTTGAGTGTGCTTGCATGTTAAAGCAGCTATTTCTTCAAATCATTGGCAATAAGTAGGAGATGGTTATCCTTTGGCAGGGACTAGGACCTTGGGATCTATTTTATTTAATGGTAGAGACTTCTTGGAGAAGGAATGCTTGAGTATTCTGTGGGTCATGGACCCTCATTCATTGATATTTGAGAGTTTTATTTCTAGTAGGTGGGCCTTGTTAGAGAATTTTGGAAACTTTACAGTTCTGGAGAGCAAAGATGATCCTTCAGAATATTGCAAATAAATAATTTCTTGGACGTTAAGCCCTCAAAGTTGAAATTTTAAGTAATGATTTTTCCTTTACAAAAATATTCCTTCAGTATTATTGTTCTCATGCAGCAACGAAGGGTATTATAGAAACATTTTAAAGTAATTTATTTTGCAACTATTACGTGTTTCTACAAAAGAAACTCTCCCAGTTTTGTTTATTATTAATATGCCCTTTGTCAGTTTAAGAAGGGAACATCAGTATCTCTTTATGGCTATATTTTGTACCTTTTCAATTCCTGGTGAAAAGGTAATACCTTTTTATATGCTTATTGATCTGTGTAGTTATTCTTCTGTGAAAGATGTATGATTCTTTACCACTTTTTGTTTGAGGTTTTTTAATGGATTTACAGTAACTCCTTATGCATCAAGAGCATTAGCTGTCATGTTTCTTGTTAATATTTTACCTGCTTTATAGAGCCTTTTAATTATGCTGGTGGTATTTTTAATTGAACCATATTTTACATTTTATGTGGTCTAATTAATGTTATGATTTTTTTAACTATTGTATTTAGAAAAGACTTCTGCATCAAAGAGGAATTTAAGTATTCCCCATATTTTCTTCTACTATGTATGGTTTTTACATTTACCACTTTGTCCAGGTGGCACAATGGATAAAGCAGAAAATTTAAAAGGGACAAACTGACCATTGCAACTAAATTAACTTCTCACTTTTCAAAAGTTAATTTACCACTTCAGAAGTATTTATTATAGCCTCTCCTATAGACGCACTGTCTTCTCAACCCAGGTCCCCTCAGTCATTGCTGTGTTTGATACGGCCTGATCTCCAGGCTGAAACCTGCAGAGGTCCTTTACTAATCCTTTCCTGGGCAGAAAATACAGCGTCAGTCCAGCTGTTGATGGAATGTGACTTTACTCATGTCACCATTAACCTAATGGCTGGTATCTCTGCTCTGACTCTGGGCACTACATACGCTTCAAATTCCAGATTTCTCCTGACTTCTGACACATGTTTGCCTCGGATGGCTCCTTAGGGCCATCTTAGTGCCATTTTCCTGCTCCAGGGCTTCTTACACCCTGCCTAGGTTTTCCCTGGGATCCTGACTCTCCTCCTGATTAACCCTTGGCAATGGACCGATCACCTAGAACCTGACACCGTCTCCTGCTTGACCCTGAGCATTATTTTCTCCTTGGATCTGCGCCTCTCTCAGCCTTACACATGAGACTGGACTTCTCTGAATATCAAAACTTGCCGAAACCAAGCCCAAAGTCTCACTTTCTTTTGAATATTGTCTGCTGAGTGTGGTCTGCCGTTGGGTGGTACACCCAAAATCCAGGTTATAACTCAAATTACAATGTCAGCTCACCCACAGAAAATTTACAGATTGATTTGTCTAAAACATTATAGAAGCAGTACCAAGAGGCCCTTTTCTGCTTTTACTTTTTTGAGGGGGAAGGGAGTGTGAAGATAACTATATGTAATAGTCCCAGAATTACCCTTCTTGTAAGGAGAGGTCTTTGGGTTTTCAAGATAAGGGTGATATGGAAAGTCCTGATTGCTTTTCTAAGCATCCTTCCTTTGCATCCCTCCCTTAGGCTATCTTAGCCACGAATGATGCATCATTACTGTCTTAAAGGGGATCTTGAGGACTAGTGGCTTTTATAGGTAATGACGGGAGTTTTGGAGTCTCATTCTTGCTGATGGCTTTCAGGGCCAACCAACTGTGGCTCCCTATTGGCTGCTGCTGCCAAGTCGCTTCAGTCGTGACCGACTCTGTGCGACCCCATAGACGGCAGCCCACCAGGCTCCCCCGTCCCTGGGATTCTCCAGGCAGGAACACTGAGTGGGCTGCCATTTCCTTCTCCAATGCATGAAAGTGAAAGTGAAGTCGCTCAGTCGTGTCCGACTCTTTGTGATCCCATGGACTGCAGCCCACCAGGCTCCTCCGTCCATGGGATTTTCCAGGCAAGAGTGCTGGAGTGGGTTGCCATTGCCTTCTCCCTATTGACGTGTCTTCACTTTTTCAGATCTTTAATCATCCTTATCTGAAGGAGAAGCAGGAAAGAATTCCTGCCCGCTTTGAACTCTTACAGAATTTCTGGTTTATATCAGCAATTTGCCACTGACCACAGACCGTCTTGTCGTGTTAACCTTTGGTATCTGGCCTTTCATTTTCCCCTAACCAGGTTGAGACCTGCCCTGTTTAGCCCCGGACTACCTCAGGAACCTTGATTGGTTCACCAGCCGGGTTGGCTAAGACTTGTTTCCCCACCATCCTGTGTCCCTATCACCCACTTCTCTTCCTTCTGCTTTGTCCGCACTTGAGAGATAAATGCATGCCGCCCTCAGATGCGCGGATCTAGTGGCGGTAGGGAGTGGAGAGCTGCAGAAGCCAGCTCCCGGTCTCCACTCCTTGTGAGTGGCCCCCTGGGCTATGGCTGTGGGAGGACTGCCTTCCTTAGTTTAACACCAGTTAGCCATACATGAGGACAGTCTGCTTTCTCGTCACTCAGCCAGGATTTAGTGAGTACTGGTAAAGCACAGTTTGCACCGGAGTAGTTGGGAAATGGAGTCTGCCCTTCCCAATCTGTGCGCAATCTGTTAGCAGCTAAAAACAAGTGTTAGCAGTTATAATTACCATCATTTTGTCTCCACGCTTGGATCACATTCCAGGTGTTCTAGGAGTTGGTCCATTTCCTCTCTTTCCCCCTTCAAGTCTCATGCCGTGTTTCAAGTAGCTGTTTCAGAGGGCAACTGTGTTGTGAAGATTCACCTCCTGTATTGGTTCAGAACTGTTTTTGCGGTTTTCGTCCATTAGTTCCTTTGAACTTGGCTGTCCCGAGTTAGAAAGACCTTGCCGAGGTGTGGCTGCGTCTAAGAACACTGTTGAATCGGTGCCATGGTAACGTTTGCAAAGCAGCTACTGCTAGGATACGGCTCTGACACTTATTACCTTATTTGCATTTCAAGCCACCTGTTCCGAAGATGAAAATATACATGAATGCATATTCCATTCTGGATAAAAGTGTAATATCTTACTGTTTAAGTGAACATGTTGGGTTTTTTTTCCTCTCTCTCTGGCTGTGAGAATCAAGTTCTGAGCTCAGAGCCTTTGTTCTGATCTAAAATAAGAGCCAGGCTTGGGATGTGGACAAGATCTGTTGGTTTCGTTACCTGTGGTGGTGCCAGGGCCCCTCCTTGGGAGGCTCTCCCTTCTGTGAGAGGGAGGCCGCTGCGAAGGGAGCAGAGACTTGACTTCCTCAAAGGGAGGCACTTTCTACTAATAGCCCCGCAGCGCCTGGCGCAAGGAGGAGCTCTATACTTTTGTCAAACCTGGGTTACTACGTGCTAGCGGTTTCCCTTCTCTTACACATTCCCTGGGATACTCTTGCTATTGATACGCTTGTGGTTGCCTCCAGTGTTAAGACAAGCTTTGCCCCTGGATCAGCTGGAAGAGCATCTCGTCGCTCTCCTTCCTTCCCTTCCAGCCCCTCCATCTCCACACCGTCTCCTAGGACACTAGACGTGTTGACAGTAATGACTCATGTGCTCACCCTCATTATTCCCACCCTCCTCTCCCGCAGCCCACTTGAAGGACTGTGTGGTGATCACTGTCCTGTATTTCCATTCGTTGCCACCCAAAGTCCTTAAGCATGTATCACTTCAACCGCTCAGTCGTGTCTGACTCTTTGCGACCCCATGGACTGCAGCACGCCAGGCTTCCCTGTCTGTCAGCAACTCCTGGAGTTTGCTCAAACTCATGTCTGTTGAGTCGGTGATGTCATCCAACCATCTCATCCTCAGTCATTCCCATCTTCTTCAGCCTTCAGTCTTTCCCAGCATCAGGGTCTTTTCCTGTGAGTCAGTTCTTCATATCAGGTGACCAAAGCATGTATATTATGCTAAAATATATGTATGTATTTTTTTTTTTTTAGTTCTACCACCTTACTGCTACCAACCCATCTCCCTCCACCCTCATTCACACATGCTCAGTAACCCCATGGACTGGAGCCCTCCAGGCTCCTCTGTCCATGGACTTTTCCAGGCAAGAATACTGAAGTGGGTTGCCATTTCCTTCTCCAGGTAAAATATATGTATGTATACTACATTAAAAATAACTAGCAGGGATGATGGAAGCACCCAGAAGGCTTCGTACAGCAGCATCACCGCTCAGGTCTGTTTTTCATGGTTAAGCTTCCAGTCTCCACAACAGCAACAGTCCTTTCCCTTCTCCTCCTCTTGAGGGCTCCTTCTAGCTTGAATATTTTATGTTGATCTCTGTGTCGTTCATGGGTCTTAAGCATATTCATTCCCTCCTCAGCTGGCTAATTTTCAGTGAGATTTTCTTTCGTTGGTGCTTGTTCACTCTATTGAATCCCATTCCTTCCACATCATTGGCCACTGGTCTTGCCTTTCTGTCCTTGCTTCTTGCCTCTGTTTTTACCTCCTAACTCAATGAACTGGTAAATATAAAACCAAAAGTTGATCCTCTAGGTTTACCTTTTATTTGACCTCAGTAAGTGATATTCCATTTAAAAATATTACCTTAAAAATGAGCCTCTACCCACTAGTGTATTTACCAATTGCATTTTAGGGTAATTTGAGAAATAGGCAATCCCAATTAGGCAGTCAGTTTTTAAGACAGCTCTAGTGAGGTGTAGCTGACAAATAAAATTGTGTATATTTAGTATATATAACTTGATCTTTTGATGTTCTTGTACATTGCGAAATAATCATAACAATAAAGCATATTAACATATCAGTTATCTCACATGTGTAAGAGATCGTGCAGTGATTGTCTTTCTGTATTTGATTCATTTCTTTTAACATAAAGCCCTCCAGATTCATCCATGTTGTTGCAGATGGCAGGGTTTCCTTTTTAAAGGCTGGGTAATATTCCATTGCATGTATATACCACATTCTTTAACCATTCATTTGTCGATGGACATTTAGGTTATTTCCATATCATCACTGTTGTGAATAATTCTGCAATGAATATAAGGGAGTACAGATATCTCTTTGAAATCCTGACTCCAATACTTTTGGATAAATATCCAGAGGGTGGGATTGTTGGATCATATAGTAGTTCTATTTTTAATTTTTTGAGGAACCACTGTATTGCCTTCTTATAATGGCTGTATCAGATTACATTCCCACCAACAGTAGATGATGTTTCTCTTTTCCCCATTTTCACCAACACTTGTTATCTTTTGCCATTTTGATAATGCCATCCTAACAGGTGTGAAGTGATATTTCACTATGGTTTTGATTTGCATTTCTGTGATGATGAATAATGTTTGAGCACCTTTTCCTACATGTGTTGATCATTTGTATGTCTTTTGAGAAATGTCTCTTCAGGTCTTTTGCCCCCCCCCCCCCCTTGTTTTAAGTCAGAATGTTTTGTTTTTGCTGTCAAGTTGTATGAGTTTCTTATATATTTTGGACATTAATCCCTTATCAGATATGTTGTTTGCAAATATTTCTTGCCGTCCTGTAGGGTTTTTTTCACCCTGAGTTTCTTTTGTTGTGCAGCAGCTTTTTAGTTTGATACAGGTCCACTTGTCTATTTGTATTTTTGATGCCTGAATTTTTGGTGTCACATACAGAAAATTATAGCCAAGATTAATGTCAAGAAGCTTTCCCCTTATGTTTTCTTCTAGTAGTTTTACAGTTTAAGCTTTCACACGTAAGTCTTTAATCCATTGTGAGTTGATTTTTGTTAATACTATAAGTATCCAATTTTGTTCTTTTGCATGAGTCACCATTTTTAAGTTACAGTTTTTAAAATACCTGTTTGGAAAACTCTAAAGGAGACTGACTTTGCAAAACTTCACTTAGATTGCACAGAACGACTTTTAAAACTGAATTTAATCACAGAGAAACAAAAACCTTGATCATAGGGTTTCTGCTCACAATTATTATTGCTGAGTTGAGATTTACAGGAAGGAAGGAAGGTTGTAGAAACATCTAGATTCCCAGATAGACTTCTTTCTTCTGTCTTTGTTATTTTGCCATGTTTCATCTTTAGTCAGATGAGTTATGCGATATATTATCTATATAAAGTAATATGAAATTATGATGAAAATGCTTACAGAGGCCGAATTCTTCTCCATTGATATATGTAATAATATACTTTTACTTAGTTTAGTTGTAAACAAAGATTTGTTTCTAACCTGTATCCTGGCATCCCAGTTTGGGATGTATCCAAGATGGCTTATGTATTGCTAGCTGCTGCTTATAAGGTGACATTTTTCTTTGGATGGCAAGAAGTAAAGTAATCTCTATTTTATTGCTAAAATATTTTACTTTTATTTGAATGTACTGTGCTCAATTAATTCATTGCTTTCATTGCAGTTTGGTTGACACTGAATAATAATGCCCACATTCATATAGCAGTAACAGACTACTTAAAACTACTTAAAAAAGAAAGAAGAAAAAGAGTAAGCATGATATAAATAAGAGCAGAGTATTCAGTAGATTTAATGAAGTTCACTATAGAATTAGATGGGATGAGAGAAATGTTAGGGTTGAGAGGAAAGATATATATATATATATATGTATATATATATATATCTCACATATATATATTTGTATATATTTATACATACACATATATGGGTTTCCCTGATGGCTCAGATGGTAAAGAACCTGCCTGCAATGCAGGAGACCCTGGTTCAATTCCTGGGTTGGGAAGATCCCCTGGAGAAGGGAATGGCAACCCACTCCAGTATTCTTGCCTGACGAAATCCATGGACAGAGGAGCCTGGCAGGCTATAGTCCATGGGGTCACAAAGAACTGGACTCGACTGAGCTAATATATATATATATATAGCCTCTCAGGTGGCGCTAGTTGTAAAGAACCCGCCTGCCAATGCAGGAGACAGAAGAGACGGGTTTGGTCCCTGGGTCAGGAAAATCCCCTGGAGGAGGGCATGGAGGAGCCTGGTGGGCTGAGCTACAGTCCACAGAGTCACAAAGAGTTGGACACGACAAAAGCGACTTAGCACGCTGGCACATACATACGTGTATAGCAAAGGATGAATCTTCTCGTTTGGGGTCATAAGAAGAATGGCCACAGGGTGGCAGCACAGTCTTAAGAGCAGGAAACTTTCTGCTGGACCCACGGTTAGTTTGCTAAAACCACACTGTGTGTGTGTGTGTCCCAACAGTTTCCCGCCCCGCGCCCCCCAACCTCGTTGAAAACTTTTGATTTTATATTGGCGTATGGTTGATTAATAATGTGTTAGTTTCAGCCGTACAGCATAGTGTGTGCGCGCATGCGCCTAGTGTTTGACTGCGACTCCATGGACTGTATCCACTGTCTATGGGATTTTCCAGGCAAGAATACTGGAGTGGGTTGCCGTTTCCTACTCCAGGGGTCTGCATCTCCTGCATTGCAGGAGGATTCTTTATCGCTGAGCCACTGGGGAAGCCCATATGCTATACAGTAGGTCCTTGTAAAACCACATTTTTTTTTTCTCAGAATTCCTCCATGTTGCTTTCCCCATAATCCTAGATAAACGTCAACAAAAGTTCAGAATCAAAGGTCACTCCTAAAACTTAAACTGAGGAAAACTGCAGGATGAAGCACTATCTTTACTCCTAGAGTCTGTAAGCTATTTTGGCCTAAGCTTTTTGATGTCATATCCAAGATATTACTGCCAAGAATAATGTCATGAAGCTTTTCCTTCTAGAGATTTATAGTTTCAGGCATTAAATTTAAGCATTATACTGGAGTGGGTAGCCTTTCCCTTCAGGCATTATACTGGAGTGGGTAGCCTTTCCCTTCTCCAGGGGATCTTCCCAAACCAGAGGTTGAACCCAGGTCTCCTGCATTGCAGGCGGATTCTTTACCAGCTGAGCCACAAGGGAGGCCCAGGAATTACTGGAGTGGGTAGTCTATCCCTTCTCCAGGAGATCTTCTCAATCCAGGTGGATTTTTTACCAACTGAGCTATCAGTTGGTAAATAAATAAAGCCCCTTTATTTATAGAGTCTATACAGAGGCTCTGGAAAATGGTTTCCAACTATCTGTGAGGAAGGTCCAACTTAAGTTACTAAATCATCATACACTAATAATTTTGTAAAATTTGATGAAAATTATTGTATTAAAAAAGAACAAAAAACATTGAAATCAGAAGATTATTTTAAAAATAAGTAGTTCAACATATATAACCAGATCAACATATACAAATTTTAAAATTATGTTTTAATAATTATAAACAGAACACTTGTCTCTTTTTGCTATTTTTGCCTGAGCTTGTGATGTCATATC